CATTCTTTCATCAAGTTTGGCATGGCAGGCAGTATCTTGTTTAACCCCTCTTTTCCCCTTCTATTATTTTGTTTTTTCTTGCCAGAACTCTTTTCTCCTTCTTTGCTCAGGCAAATTTTGTGAACTAATAAGTGGTAGCTTAAAGTGTTGATTGAGGGTAGTGCAGTTTGGCTCTTTTGGCTTTTCTTTTTTTGTCCTTTTCAATCCCATCAATGGTCCGCTGATAAGTTTTATTTTAGCCTGGGGATAATGAAATTGCTCTAGTCTTGCTGCATTATGATGGAGTTGTTATTTATGGTGCCTTTTGGTCCCATCGTTTCACAGTAGACTGTTGCTTGATGAGATAATTATGTCTGTTTGGTTCAGATAATCATTTACAGCTGGAGGATGATATATTTCTATGCAGTAAGAAGAAGTCGCTTTGTAAAAGGATAACGGGGTTTGAGGTAGTGATGCTTGCTTCCTTGCTGCTTCTGGTTCATTCTGTTTATTGCATTTTGTGGGATTGTGTTGAAATCTGTCTTGTGATTCCATCCAGTTTTTCCCGCACGATTCAAGCAAGGTAATGGTTACCTCCGCGGATTCACAGATAAGAATTCTAGATGGAATTAATATAATCAGCAGATACAGAGGTATGTTTTTTCTGTTTCTTTTTAGTATTTTATTTATTCGTCATTCCTGATTATGTTTGCTTGTCTCTCTAGGAGCCTCATAACAGATTTATGTCTCATTGCATATCTGACAGATCTGTTTTAGTTGGTACTTCCTAAGCTTTTGTTAAAACAGAACAGAGTTGTTGTAAATGTTGGATGCAAGATTATTCCTTCTCGCCTTTGAAGTCTTACAGTAGTAGTTCGTTCATCTATGATCATTGAGTTCTAATCATGAGATCTTGAAATGCTCTGCTGATTGCAGGTTGCCGTGGGGCTGGTAATCAAAACTTTGCATCTTTGACGTTGGATGGGAAGCATATCATTTCAGCATCTGAGGACTCAAGTGTATATATCTGGAAGTGCCTTGATCAAAAAGGGCTCGTTCCTTCTGAGGCTAAAGTCATCAGATCTTGTGAACGTTTCTCCTCTAATGCATCGGTGGCAATACCATGGTGTGGGTTCAATTACAGTAATTCACCCGATGGATTGAAGTTGGATGACTTGGTTGGGAAGTTACTGGAAGCTCTCTCATCCTCACCAGCTTGTTTCTCCCAGGGCCCTGAATTTTTATTGGAGTCTTTTCCCAAGGGCTCCGCCACTTGGCCCGAGGAGAAGCTTCCCACTTCTAGCCCATGGGCACCATCACATGCTATGCACAAAACCCAGTCCAAGTTTCTGAGGAGTTCTTGCCAGAGCACATCGAATGCCCACGCATGGGGATTAGTTATTGTGACCGCTGGTTGGGATGGAAGGATCAGATCCTTTCTCAATTATGGGTTGCCAGTCCCTCATTGAGATTTTGAGTGGCTTTTCTAAAAGTTCCTTGGAGCATTATGAGTAGCCCTTAAATTGGCTTGTTCATGTCCTTAGTCTATCTTTGGTAGACAACACCTTGTTCTGCATGTTCAAATGATTGGTGTCAGCTGGTTCAGGTTCAGGACTCATCGAGCATATTTTCAGTGTATAGTAATCCAAGTTGGCTACGACAGGTGTCAACAATTCATCGGTAGTGATCATAATCCAGCTAGGAATCTGCAAGTGGTCGAGGTGGGCTACTTGGATTGCTTGCTTAATTCGCTATTGATTCCTTAAATCTGAAAGGTCATGCCAGGCAGCCCTGAAAAGACGTGCAATACATACTGCATTCCGAGAGCCCGTCTCTGGATATCGTTGGGTTATAATGGATGATTGTGCTTGAGTTGTGGGGCCTAAATTAGGAGCTCTTCCTTATGCATGCCCCTTTAAAAGAAGATTGAGATAGGGCATATCCTGATTTGTGGTTGGAGTTGATACTTGAAAGAAAATGGTGGGGGAGGTTCACCATGGTATCATGCTGGCTGGTCTGATTGATTGAAGCAATTGTCTGCCATTTCGGTCAGTTTTCAGCGTAGGGTCAACTGCACCGGATCTTGTCCAGAAATGGGGTCGCTGGCTTGTCTTGGAGTCGAAATGCTTATATCTTGGGCCATGCTCGGACAGATTGATTTCTTGGTTCAGGCAAGCAGAGGACCGACCTCCATTAACGAGCTCCAAAATGTGCTGGAGCTTCTGCTAACTTAAATTGAGGATGTATGTTCTCTTAGATAGTTCCAAGTACATGGAATTTTTTCTTTTTCAATTCCAGTAAGTATAGGAGGAAATATCGTCCAGTGTAGCTTACATCCCAGTGTAATTCTCAAGTAGCTAGTTAAAATTTTAGTGCAGTGAAGAAGGATTGTATATGCTTGTCCCTTTGTGAAAGAGAATGGGTTCAGCAATTTTTCTGCTAAACTGGTGTCCATTTGCCTTGAATTACCGCTTTTGTAATTACTTACCGGGGTTTTGACTAATCACAATCAAAGCAAATGCAGAAGCAAGCATGGATATGAATCGGGATTGAATCTTTACGAGCAAGAGCTATCAAAAAAGAAGGACGTAATTAGCTATGTGTCGGCGCAATGTGGATAATTTCCTGCTCCTATTCATGCTCGATGCGAATGGTCATAGCACAGCAATTTTCAGGGTTTAGCATGTCTTGGGCATTAGGACAAAGCGGACAAGTCCACAGCATCATTATTAGGCATAAAGGGACAGACACAAGCCACATGAAAGGCTGGGGACGCCGTGCGACCAAACGTAGCTGTCTTCTCTTTTTCCTTGAGGTGAAGTGCCAAAGCCAATCGAAAACCACTGATGTTACGCAAAGATTGGTTGGCTATCGCGTGCTTTATCATCATTCATGGGCTTTTTTCGAAAGAGTATATTTCCTCCCCATTATATTTGGTTGATTAAGGCATAAGATGCAATGCGATACGTCGCTTTTAACTTAGAGAACGAGTGCGAAGCAGCATCCAAAGACCCAAATATCAAATATCTCGGATTCTTGATTGAGAAACTCGTTGGAAGAGATAAAGGAAACGAGAAAGAGTAAGAATGTCTAAGGCTGTGTTTGGTAACTGGCCAAATAGTAACTGATTCTATTATTTTGTTCTCAGAATCAGTTTTGGAACAGAAATTCGTTTAGTAAATTTTTTGTTCCCAGAATCAGTTTTGGAACAGAATCAAGAAGTAAAAAAAAGTTACTTCTTGATTTTGGGAATAAGAATAAGAAATGGAAAAGAAATTTTTTTTCTTCTTCTTCTTGGCCTGCGGCCGGTCGTCGGCCACCGGCGAGGGCGAGGGCCGCCCTCGTCGGATCTGGCGTGGGCAACCCTCGCCACCGCCCTCGCCTAGGCTGCTAGCCACCCTTGCCGGATTTGGTGAGGACGGCGGCAAGGGTCCAGCCCTTGCCAGATCCGGCGAGAGCGGCGACGAGGGTCCAGCCCTTGCCAGATCTGGCGAGGGCCACGACATCCTCGCCGGCCCTGGCCATGGCCAAGGAAGGGGAAGAAGAAAAATAAAAAGAAAGAAATATTAAAAAATTCAAAATATTATTAAAATATTATTAATAAAAAGAAATTTTGTGCAGTTGCCAAATGCATTTATGTTCTTTTTCTATTCCAAGAATAAAAATTTTGGGCACTTACCAAACGTTTTTAAATGCTTAAAATTATTCTTGGGCAGGGAATAAAAAAGAATCATTTTTTAACATAAATTATTTCTGAGAATAGTATGGTTAGCAAACATACCCTAAGTTAGTCCATTTATAAGTTGGGTTAGAGCAGGTTGCTTCACATGTACTAGAGCTGGAAGCTTTCCCATTAAACAAACATGGGTATTCTATCCATTTTGGTCGGAGCATGACTGTCTTAGATCAAGATCTTAATCGATGATTGAATGCATTCAGATTTAGTATGAGGACAAGAGGGGGGGTGCTCGAGGGTGATTAGGAGATCTAAATATAGATATAACAATTTCCCTTCTTAGGGCCCAATACGCTAGAAAAATCCCAACTTTAGGTCTGACCCCAATTTTACTGTAATTTTTTTTTGTCTCATAAAATATTATTAACTTTACTTGAGTTTTAAATCTGCCCCGTTAACCCTTTGCCGAAAATTTTTCATGGGCAACCAAGAGATGAAAAACTCTTGAGCGTGAGCTGTTTGAGCATCCCAAGCCAAGTGTCCTGAGTGTAAGCTCTCCGACCACGAGAGATTGAAGACTCCCAAGCACGAGAGATTAAAGACTGAGCGCAAAATCGAAGATCCTCAAGCGAGATGGAAGGAAGGCTCTCTTAAGAGTAAGAGCAATTGAAGAAAGCTAACCTCAATTGCTCCGGTTCGTCCTCAAATTTCAAATCCAAGAAGACGTTTTTTTGGATATGAATTTTCATGTCAGCCCAAACCACATCTTCTTAGATCTGAAATTTGGGGAAAAACTAGAGTAATGACGTGAAAATGCCATGTAGGTGCAGTAAAGCCGATCTTGAATGGAGGGTTAACGGGGGCTGATATGAGACTCAAGTGTAATTTAATAGTCTTTTATGAAACAAAATAAAGTCAAGTGAAGAATTGTGAATGGATTTAAAGTTGTGAATCTTTTATAAAATAAAAAAGAAATTTAGGGTAGAATTGAGACTGAAGCAAATATTGAGGATTTTTTAGGGTATTCGGCCGATGGTCATTTGCCACTCCTTGGGACTAGCTTGGTACAGTACCTATTAGGCCTCCAACTGATGGGGGCCTAGAACAACAACTTCAACAAAAGTTCAGAGGGTGAAGCCCAAAGTAGAGAGAACTGCCAGATACATGTGTAATCTGGATCTGAGAAAAGCGACCCAGAAGAATCTTTGACGGTTCAATGTGATATCTAAGTGGAGAAATTAAAAGACTTGCAAAGCTTGTACAAAGAACGAATAGGGAAGAATCTGGTCTCCTAACCTCGTTTGGAAGTTTCATACGATCTGAGAAATGTGGTCGATTTCCATGGAGACTTTGAGTACATTTCACAGTAATTGCGCCGGACAAAAAAGGACCGGCGACAGACAGGTTCAAAGTGAGAAAAGCTCAAAAAGATGCCCACAAAATCTTCCTAAAGCAAATTCCCAATTCAAAAGAACAAAGCTCTGTCTTTAAGCATCTGCAGCAAACACTCAATGCAAAGAAAAGTATCTCAATTCCCACTTTTCTGGCTTTTAGACATGGAGATCAAACTTGCCATTCTCAAATTGTCATGCTACGCCTTCGTTCATCCTTTGCACCCTCACATTTGCAATTGTTATGATCACGGAGATGGCAATGATCATCCCCAAAATGTTGTCAGATTCAGTCTTCGGCATTGTCTTCTTGCTTCTTTCTTCATCCTTCTTCATGCAAGGTCTGTTCTGTCTCTCTCTTTCTCGAACCAAAAGTTGTCCAAATTTGTACTTTTAGCGCTGCAATTGTAACACCCTTGACTAATAACCGAATGCTCTCGTTTTTGTCTTCAGGAGCTCATGCTAACATTGGGGTCAACTATGGCACGGTCGCAAACGACTTACCTCCACCTGCCCAAGTGGCCCATTTCCTCCTCGAGTCCACCACGATCAACCGCATCAGGCTCTTCGATGCGAACCCGGACATAATAAAAGCCTTTGCTCACACCGGCATCGCCGTCACCATCACCGTCCCTAATGACTTCATCCCTCAACTTACCAAGCTGAGCAATGCCCAAGATTGGGTGAGAACTAATGTCGAGCCTTATGTTCCCGCCACCAACATAGTTCGAATTTTGGTTGGAAACGAAGTGCTGTCGACTGCAAACAAGCTGCTGATAGGCAGCCTGGTGACGTCGATGCAGATGCTGCACACAGCCCTCGTCGACACGTCACTGGACCGTAGGATCAAGGTTTCCACGCCTCACTCCTTAGGAATTTTGTCCAGTTCGACCCCGCCATCCAGCGGGAAGTTCCGGCAGGGCTACGACGTGCATGTTCTGAAGCCGCTGCTCAGCTTCCACAGGGAGACCGGCTCACCTTTCTTGGTGAACCCATACCCGTTTTTCGGCTTCTCTGAGGACACTCTCGATTATGCACTGTTCAGGCCGAATTCCGGGGTGGTGGATGAGAATACCAAACTTGTTTACATGAACATGTTGGACGGGCAATTGGACGCCGTCTACTCAGCGATGAAGGTGCTGGGCTTCACCGATATCGAGATCGTGATAGCCGAAACGGGATGGCCCTCGATGGGCGACTCGACCCAAGTCAGCGTCAATACAAAGACGGCGGCAGAATACAACAGTAATCTCATCCGCCATGTATCATCGGGTGCCGGCACGCCCCTCATGCCAAAACGGACATTTGAGACCTACATTTTTGCTCTCTTCAACGAGAATTTGAAGCCGGGACCGTTGTGTGAGAGGAACTTCGGACTCTTCAGGCCGGACATGACCCCGGTGTACGACGCCGGGATCTTGAGGCCCACGGTAGCCGCCGCAGCCGAGAGTTACCGTCCTTTGTTCCTGTTAGTCATCGCCCTTATAAGTATGCTTGTTTGATTGCTTTGTCCACTTGGCTCTGGCAGGCTAGATCATCAATTCCGGTTGACCCCGTTCCAGTCCCGAGCTCTGTGACACCGCCGACAAGTCCGGCGTCCATGTCACCGCCCAACGGAAAACAATGGTGCCTGCCCAAAGCAGGAGCAGACCCAGATGCTCTGCAGAGAAATATCGATTACATATGCGGGCTCGGGTTGGACTGCAGACCGATACAAGAAGACGGCGCGTGCTTTTTGCCTAACACGGTCCGTGCTCACGCGGCATACGCCATGAATGCGTATTACCAAGCCATGGGAAGAAACGACTACGATTGCGATTTCAAAGAGACCGGAGCTGTTACCACCCTCGATCCAAGTTAGTCCATGGTCTTCCTCATTGCTGATTATTCAGGGTAAGATAGATTTTCATTGATTTTCATTGACTGTTCTGCTTCTTTATCATTTTCAGGCTATGGAAAATGCACATACCACGGATGATGGAGTTTCTCTTACTCAAAGATTAGCAAGAAGAACAACACAGAACATCCATCTCCTTTTCTTCTCCAATTTTGAGACAACTACATCTCTCATCTAGTCCTGCTACGTAGCTCTAAACTCTACATTTGACGTCTCATCTGTCACGGTAGATTCAAGACAGTTAGAAAAGGCAAATGCCACGAAAAGTCTGCTAGCCAAATGGAATTCTAGTTCGTAGACATAAATTTGCACTTTCTTGTTTCGCTTGGCAAATCGGTCTCAAGTCGCTCAACTCGATTAGTCACGACGACTCGTTTTTTGCGATGTAACTCGTTATGACGACGGTCATATCGGACCAGCCTCAATGCAATTAGCAAAGGAACTTTGTCTGCAATTCAATCTCTCTTTATCGTATTTCACTCGAGCATAGGTGCGATAACTTAGGCTGAATTCTCAATCGATTGCTTTCTATGGAATTATAGGAATCATAATTGACTGGCAAAGGGATCAGCAGAAAAAGGAGAAGAGAAACAAAAGATGCACTTGAAATGAAAATATTGGTGCATGAAAAAGAAAATATATGAATCGCATAATTCTAATTTTCTGCACCATACAATATGGACTGTTTTTGTGTTGGTAAATTTCAGTAAGTATTGGTAAGTATCGAAAAACTGTCAGTAAAAAAATGATAAGTGACTTTTTTTTTAACTTGCCAAATTTTATGAAATTACCAATTTTTTATGGTATGGAAATTCCTAACTCGAGTCAATTACAATGCAAGTCTTAAATCTTGTGAGGATGATTTATTGAAATCCTAAAACTTTCAATTCAAGCATTTAATTCCTAAAATTTGCAACTTTGTGGCACTTTGGGTCATTCCATTGATCATTCAATTTCAAGTGAAGGAAAAGTACAATGTGCCTTTATTTAATATTTTTTTGTCCTATGTGGCCGTCAATAAATAATGCCACGTGGACTTTCCATCCATTGACAAATAACCGAGCGAACCGAAAGACTAAGGTGGGTGACCGTGATAAATTTTAGGACATTAATGTATGAAAGGAAATTTTAAGGACTTAGATACATCATCATGACAGGTTTTAGGACTCATGTTGTATTTGTCTTTACTAAATTTTATATTAACTTATTAACTTTTATTTACATAACTTACTAAACTTTAAATTTACTAGCTATTATATGAAATTACCAACCTTAATTAGAGCCACTTACCAATTTTTATCGCATTGAATAACTAGCTAGTTTTGGATTATCACCTTTCATTTGAGCTTCCTTGTCAATGTTCAGTTTTTTTAATTTATCAACTTTTCATTGCCCTGGATGTCAAACTCTCAATTGCCAATTTTTGTTGTCTTTTATAAAATTTTGTTTATATTTCTTAACTACACCTTATATTTACATAAAATCACTAAATTTAATTTAAGTGAATTATCGAATTTTCTCCAATTAAGTTATCAACTCTAATACGAATTAGCTACCAACAGTTATTTGTTTTTTTTTTCCAACTTTTCTATTAGGTTACTTAATCGGGAAAAAATTGGTAATTCACTCAAAGAAAAGTTGGTAATTTCATATCAGAGTTTGTAACTTTAAGGCGTTAGTAAGAAGTAAATGAAAACTAGTTAAATATAAGAAACCTTTTTTTTTGTCAAAGAAAAGAAAAGTCCATAATTCAGAAAAATTAAATTTAAGCTGTTGATATGAATTATAAATAAATTATTTTATAAAAGATGAGAGTCGGTAATTCGAAGAACGTAAGAAAAAATGGTAACTTTTTTTTTTTGAAAGTGCCGGTAAATTTTTCCTGAAAATCGATGAATGACAAATACAGTTTCTTGGCACTTACCAACTAAGAAACATGCGACAAGAAAAAACAAACTTTTTCTTTGAAATTGGAAAGGTAGAACATGTTCTTGCCTTCGGTTGAACATGTCCGACGAAGTATGAGGACTTGCCTTTTACTTTTCCCGCTTTCTCCGTCAAGAATATGTTCTTGCCTTCGGGAAAATGAAAGAGAAAAGGATAAAAAAACAAATGTTCAGCTTCGAAACTTTGTCCTCAAAACGTGCACAGAAGCCTCAACCCTCTCCTGTTAATGATCAATATGATCTGTCATCTTCCAAGGTGACAAAGGTCACTGAGAAAAACGCAACAACTCTTGTTGGGACTCCACACGAATCCAGTCCTAAAAAGAATATTCGCGTGGCGACTTTGCCCGGTTGAGTTCCTACTGAATCAAGCATTATCGTTCCTGCTTCGGCTCAGCACGGAAAAAGGCGATCCCGGAACACGACGGGCACGATAGCTTGCCAACAGGGAGGGCAACAGAAAAGTGGGGCGCGAGTGGGAGATGTCGACATCGTCCTCTTTTGTGGTCGAAGCGGATCGAAGAAATAGAGAAGCAAAACGAGAGCGACATGCTCGTGCTATAGTAGTACTGCTACAGTTGAGCGCACACCAGTATGGGGAAAGTTCCTCCAAACATGGATAAACATGGAAGGGAAAGGGACACGAATTTGGTCTTTCCTTCCTTAGTGGCGTGGTTCAGATGTGCCTTTGTGGTGTGCTCTTTGCTTTTGTGACATGACCTTCATGCTACAACCTAACCAGTTTCTTTTGATGAATTTGGAACTTCTTATGTGGCTCAAATTCATTGCTCCCATTATTTTCGAGTTTCCATTCGTTAAATCTCACTCCGTGTGAGCTCATGCTGTGTCTGTGCACGACAGGGATGGATGAAGAAAGCTGGGACGTTCAATGGAAGAAACGAATTCAAAGTAATAAAGAGAGAAAACCGAAACCCTAGTTTTCTTTCTTGAGTCAGCTTTGGAAGTGAATAGCACTCACCATTCACTTGTGGGCGGTGGCGTTGCCATTGCCATTTTTCTATGCTCTCATTTGCACAATTGCATGCGCACCATGTGCTTTGTCCAATTTCACAACACTTTGTTTGTCAGCTTGGCATGGATTTGACTACAAGCAAAGTATACGCTCCAAGAAAAATCAGAACAGAAGTCCGTTAGAAACTTCGCAGGTAAGCAAAACTAAGTTACGACGAGGGCGGCGACGACCACTACGGCTTGATGACAGGGGTCCATTTGCGTGGCTAAATAAGGTGAATGTTTAATGTACATGTCATTGATCCGACGTAGCTCGTCAGCTTGGATAAATCTCATCATTTACCGTCCACAAAATAAATGTTCAAAATCAATGTATGCTCAGAGGATGGTTATTTGTTAATTTCTGATCCTAAAAACAGTATATGTTAAGAGTTCAAAATCCTTATTAGTAGGGCCCGTCAAATGGGTGGGATGAGTTGGGTCGAGTCGAATAAAAAATGGCCCGATCTAATTTGACCTATTTATATGTAATACAAATTCAGTGACCAATACCGGATCCACCATGTTACTAAACTACTTCCACACTTAATCCAACCCATGAAAATTCATATCCACTTATTTAACCCACTTTAATCTCTTCATGTGTTTATGTTATTTGCATAAAATCGCTATTTCGACTATAATATGTTAAATAATTGGATTTCGACATTACATGGAATTTTCAATTTTTGTATTGATTCACAATGAAGGATAAAAGAAAGTTAGTACTTAGTAGAGAATTTATAAAATTACAGCAACAAATAACGTGAAGGAATTGAAATTTTAATTAAATGGAATGTAAGATATTGAAGAATATAATTTATGCTGACCATGGATTAAAATAATAAGATTAAGATTAGAATATTACTTAGAAATAACAATGCCAAATGCAACCAAGAAAAGATATACTCCAATAACTAGCAAACGAAACTTTAATAAAAATAAAAAACAACGGGAAAAAAAAGAAGCTGTCTTGATATTTTTAATAAGGGTAAAGTTGAGCTCACCTTGCGGGCCCACCAAGACTTCTTTGATCTTGGAATTGTCCAAGGAGTCAATTATTTTCTCTTAAAGGGTGAAGAAATAATCATAAAGGCGAGTTGAGTTTGGGAAAATTTTTTGGACTTTGCCATTCTAAATCCATTTGCTGAACATAGTTAACCCATATAATAACTCAATCCATCACATATGAGTTAAGAAATAGGTCAATGACCCATTTTGACAGGTCTACTTATTATGTTAATGCTTTCCATAGATTTTTGCTTGCTGCAAACTTTCAATGCTTATGTTTTTCTTGTCACCTAAAAATGACATTAAGGGTCCATTTTTCTGACGGAAAACTGTTTCGGGGAAAGTATTTTATGATTTTCCAGTGTTTGGAGCACAGAAAACTAATCAATTTACGGAAAATATTTTCCATGGACTAAAAATAACAAATTTAGATTGGGGGAAAACAGTTTCCTCTTCTGGCAAAAAGGAAATTACTTTCCTTAAATCACCAAACAAATGAAAGCTTATGAAAAACATTTTCCTTTATTATAAAGGTTTCGGTGAAATAAGTGTGCATCCTAAGAGGAGAAATATGTAAGGATAAAAAGTACTAGCTTCATTGGAGTAGCGTCAAGTGATTTCTAGGGACGATAACACTATATATTCTATATTCGTTTCAAATCATTGGCTAATTCGAGGGATAGTCACTTAAGTTCCTAAAGGCTTCCCCTTTGATTTTGTCCTCTGTATTTGTAGCCCATGGTTGCCAACTTTTATTTTCTCATAATGTCATAAGAAGCCTAGATATGAGGATCACAGGTAGACCAGCTCGAATGGAAGGCCAAGTTAGGCCCAAGGTCAAACTTACCTTTTTACCCTTAGTGCCTCACTCATTTATAAAGAAGAAGAAGAAGAAAGAAACATACATATTTTTGGCATAATTCCCTAAAGAAAACCCCAAACTTTAGGTGCAAACCTAATTCTATCCCAAACTTCTTTTATCTAAAAAAATCCCCACATTCACTTTAATCCCAAATTTGCCCACTTGTAAAAAAATCGTTACTAATTTCTTTAAAGTTATCAACATCGATGCCGATTAGAGGTTTATTATCAGAACCGATGTCTTCATCAGCACCTTTGCAGTCATATGGAACAATAACAGCCTCCCGATGCCAATAATCTTTAAGAAATCAGTGGTGATTTTTGAACACGTGGGCAAATTTGGGATTAAGGTTAAAGTTGGAGATTTTTTTTAGACAATAAAATGTTTTGGAAAAAATTAGGAGTGGACCTAAAATTGGAGTTTTTCTAGGAAATGAGGCCCATATTTTTAGAGAGAGAAAATGAACTATGCATAGTTGGGTCGAAAGTAAATTAGAAGATTGGCTAGCTTCGAGAGTACATGCAAACGGAAAGTAATAAAGGGGCGATTGAGTCATTGACCCATTATAATTGAGCCCTTTTTAGATTGACCTAATAGAAAAGCTGGCCCATAATCTAAGTCCCACCACGTAGCCCACATTCTTCCTCTTTGTGTAATGGTCAATTGGAAGTTATGGAGTCATGTACAGGGCAAAGAGAAAAAAAAAAGACGTGAGGTATGGATGGCTTCTCTCTCTCTCTTAACTCAATTAGCTCTCTTTTGCTTCTCTCTACCTATGTTGACTTAAGCAATGAAAGGTCTCGTAGTGTAAATTCCGAGAATCTTCCCTATTTATGACGAGCAAGATATAAACCTGCAAAGTGCTATCACTGATCAATCAACGACTATCGAGTTTGCGCGTCAAATTAGTAATAGTGAAGAAAACATAATCAGCAGGGCGGAACTATGCAAAGTGCTCCCTGTGGTGATGTAACGTGGGAACAGTATAGTTGACTCTTTGGTGCCTGTGACACAAAGAAGGTAAAGAAACAAGGAGTTGCAATTTGCGCTGAAATTGGTGGGGGAAGCACAGTCGCCATCACAGCTTTTATGTGTTGCTGCTGAGTTCATATAAAAGAAGACCCTTACCATCTCCAGCTCCAATACGACTCAACATCGAGAGAGAGAGAGAGAGAGAGAGAGAGAGAGAGAGAGAGAGAGAGAGAGAGAGAGAGAGAGAGAGAGATTGCATTTGCACGAGCCATGGCTCTGAAGGCCTTCCCTGCTGCCCTTCTCGCTTCCCTCCTGATCATGAGTACTCTCTCTTCAGGTGCAAGTCAAAAAGCATTAGTCAGTAACTTAAAGATCATGTTAAGATTGAGCTTGCAGCACATAGTTTAAACATCCTTTCCCTTTTTCTTTTCTCGAATGCAGGAAGGACAGAACTGGATGACAAGATCTCTGGCTCTTCACTTCATAAGGTAAGCACATACCATCATAGTTTCTATTGCTAAGAATACAAATAGAATATCTCTTGCGCGCGCCCGAATTATCCTACCACACCATTAAGCCATTACGGCTTTGGGTAATAGAAAATGTTCGGAACTCCAAGCTCCGGACATGGAATATCATTATTTTTTAGCACATCGTATGGTCATTCATTCATGTCAATCGTCAGATGACAAGTGTTATGAATTTTCTCATTTCCCAATAAAGGAAAGGGTAAGAGCCCAAATATATTTCTCATCGCTATGCAATGAGATGATGCGATGCTTACCTCCGGATTGTGCACTGCGCGAGGAAAACACTTAAGAATCGTGGGGGTACAGTACAAAATGCATGCATGCACGCCTTTGTCAAAAAGTGGGAATTTTTCATATCGCCAGTAAAGGTGAACATAACATAGCGGGAATTCATTAGTTTCAGCTGATAACTAGCATCTCTCTCTCTCTCTCTCTAAAGGATGGCGTTGTTGCTGGGATAAAGGGAAGGAAGGTGATGGGGATGGAGGCGATGCCGGATTATGACGACGTCTGTGCCAACACCAAGCACGATCCCAGGAAGAAACCTGGTTGCTAGAATCCTTGACGCTCATCATTTATCTCACTCTCACCCCCACCCCCACCCCCACATTATTAACTTCCTTCTCTCTCTCTCTCTCTCTCTCTCTCTCTCTCTCTCTCTCTCTCGATATATATATATATACTCTGTTTTGCAAGGCATTCTACAATAAACGACCCCGACGAATAATAATTTGGGTGAGTGATGATACCCCAATACGTCGCACGTTGCCTATATGCAGTTGTGTACCTCTCTGTAATATTTGTTTTACGTGTATGAAGGCTCAATAAATGTTGATTTTGATTGCTTAGCTTTGATACATCTCAGTTCTCTCTCTGGAGATCTCTCTCGATCTCGATCTCGTAAGGTAGTAAGAAATCCTGAGTCTGTATCCGTGGACTTTGTACATGCTAATAATAATACTTCCCAAACAAATATCAATCTGTCAAAAATTACCCAATAGTGAAAAACTCGAAATTCATTAATAAAATATAGACCAAATACTGTGCATACATACAAGGCATACTTGGAAACATGAAGTGGTAAACGAGATGAACAAAGACAAGAACGTCAGTGACTGTGGCGGTGATCAACCATACAAACTGTCCCGAGTATCGAACAAAAGATGTGTGGCATGGTTCTCTTCGTAGGTTCTCTTTGTCGGTTTTTCATCCACATAGTACGTCGTCACGGCTTCAGAAATTATGGAAGGCGGTAAGAGATCCTGAATCTGTATCCGTGGATTACAACCTAATTACTTATGTCAAATTTTACTTGAGCATGATAGAAGAACTGCTACGCCATGTGAATTTGACGGAGATGATTTACGTTTTTGAGAGTTGATGGGTGTTTGGTGGAGCCATCCCTCCCGCAATTTCACCTTCTCTCGGGATGAACCGTAATTTTCAGGGCCCTCTTGATCTCTCAAAAGCATCTCGCATAAGTTGTCTATGGAGTTTCAATGGGTATTAAGTCCATGGAATATCCCTAACCTATCAATTTAAATTTTTGGGTGGGAAGAATTTGTGTTAGTACACTTGATTTATAGCCTAAACTCCAGCTTTCTCCATAGCGCAATCTGGAACTGAGGATAGGATGGACCACATATAAACATACCTTCATAACTATGGAAAAATTGCATGAAGAATTTTGTATTGTATTACTCTAAGATGCGCTATATAGCAGGTTTAAGTGAGGTTATCTAAAATAATATTACATGAAAAGAGCAAAAATCGAAGCTCTATGTCGACTTATATACATTTGGGGAATTGAGCATGCTCCAATTTCATCAAGACAGCAGGGAAAACATCCAAATTCCAAGAGACACGAGACCAACAGTGGCAAAAGCTTGGCCGAATTCAAAAACTACATTTGGTCGCTGCACTGGTAAATTGCGCCAGTCCGTTCGCCTACACAGATTGATCAACAACAAGGTTACAACAGACGTGCAAAATAGAAACCGTGATAGATTTTATTATTTGAATTCAAGTCGATGACTCAGGTAGTTGAGAACCGATTTGATGTTACTCAACAAGGCATGGCTTTTCTTGTAGTCCGGTCATAATCAAATCCAATCCATCTAATTAAGTAAAATAAGTACTAAAATCATGTAGATCGACGATGCGCATACCCCAATTCAGCAATCACAATGGTGATATTATCTTGTGAGCGCCGGTCCTGCAAATGCATGCATTATCGAGTTAGTGGCACTGCCTTGGAAATTATTTCTAGGAGATGGAATAGTTTTTGCTGCGAGTTATAATTACCAGAGCTGCTTCTGCAAGTGCTTCAGATGCCAGCTGCATTAATGAAAAGAAAGGAACTTACAGTAAGATCAGAATCAACTATCAAGCATGATAGGGAAAGGAGACGATCAGCAAGTAAAGTAGATTTAATATACTGAGGAGTCTAAGGCAGATTCGTCATTGAAACAACATGACTTAATTACCTGAACATTTCCATGTTGCCGAAGTTGGTTTCTGACAAATTCAATGGCATCTGAGCTGAAAAAAAAAACAAACGATAACCAGAAAGTTATTTTTACCTCCTCACTTAGGAAGAAAGAGAAACCAAAAAAGAAAGAAAGAACTTCACCGTATTACTGTACTTCATCAACAAATAAAGAGCAATACCTATTCATGTAGTCCCATAAGCCATCAGATGCTAGCACTATGAACTCTGCATCAGAACCAAGAGCTACCTGGTATATGTCTGGAGATGCAATGACCAAGTCCCCATTGAACTGAATGCTGAAACAGAATTAATTGTGTCTGTGGTCAAAGCTATGAAATCTAAACCGTCAGCAACTAGGAAAAGTTACAGTCCAAGTGTACATGTACACCTGTTGCAAGCTTACAACTACCAAAAGGATTATTGCATATTTAACAACCCGTGCTCATTTTGAGTTCATCAAAATGAATGAGCAATAGTTACACAATAAGTTTATGAAGGTGCTAATCACCCTTAAGCCACTGGGGCAAAAGGCACACTAGATTGGTCGAGAGCATCAGAACACATCTTCATCCTAAAAGCATCTCTCAGTGAAATGAACCAACCAACTCGCTTCAACTGTGTTGCGCTACAACAAACTTCAAGATCAATTCTTTAGATATGCCGTTTGTTTGGTTGGAGGAGCAATAGAGTGAATTCACGAAAAGACAGTTCATTTGAACCCCAAGCATTCCGCCTCTCCTCAGTAGGGGGGAGCGAACAATAATGAACAGTTAGGTGGTTACCTACCGAGAAATAAATTTCTCTGACCATCTTCCTTCCTTGACTCCCTTCTGAAGCATCCTTCTCAATTATCAAAAAACGTTATGAGGTATGATAAGAGGTCATTGTTTACGATATTGCACAAACACTATCAACATAAAAATGAGAGTTGCAGAAACTAACTCGATCTTTTTTGTCTTGTAACGTATGTCACCAAAAGCTCGAGAGACGGAGATGTCGCCACAAATCCTTCCATTACTAACCTACGGTCCCCGTGCACAAGAGTCACCATCCACATATTGTATAGTAACTATAAGTACTACAGAAAAAAAACACAAATTCTAGAACTGGATTGAAAGTCATTTATGACTTATGTGAAAGTCATGATGCTTCAAATTACTAGCCAGAGAATCATCCGCAGTATTACTTAATTAAGAACTCATAACCAGAGAAAGAAAACAATGATAAAGCTAGAAAATCCAGTCTGCTTACCATCAAGTAGGTACTTTATGAGTTCAAGATTATGCTCTAATTATTGGACACAGAAAAAGAACTTATCATTGAGAAGACAAAGCAAAACGGTGTACAGAAAAACACACCCATCCACCTGCTTCTCTGATTCTTCTGATTTCGTTAAGAGAAACTTTGCTGCTTCCATATGGTCGATGGGGATTTGTTAAAACTTCCGGCTTTCCAGAACGGGAGAGGACCTGAAGCAGAAGTTCAGAGGGTTCATTGTGGTTGATGCAATCAGACAAATAAAAAATGACATCATAATTAAACGCTTTTGTGCCAGATATCGTTATCGGGAGCAATGTAAAGTTCATTCAAGAAATTTGCTATAACAGAAGCAAATGCAACCCTGCATTATCCAACACATTACATATCTCACATTGGCCCGATACATATTTTGGAATACAATAAATTCCTTCAATTCTGAATTCCATAAGCCTGGAGATATTATGACCTATTATATATTCACGAAAAGATTACGTACCACACATGAGTCCCCAACATGTGCAATGAAGATCTTATCACTCCCAAGGAATATAGCAGTGGCTGTTGAACCTGATTCATCTTCTTCTTGTGTCGTCTCAAGCCTACCCAAAATGAAAGATCATACAAAACTTCAATGCCACGACTTGAGAATACTTTATGGGGGCTTATTCTCTTTGGTTATCAACTAAAACCGAACAGAAACAAAGCTTACCAATTCACTAATTTCGCATCTGCATTTGCAAAAGCCTCCCGCAGTGCCTCTTGGATGGAGTTGATGTCCTGTTTACTCAGGACCAAACCACCTTGTAGGGACATGACACATTCTTTGAACAGTTCGTCCCTGTACTCAGAGCATCAAATTTAAGCTAAGGATTGAATTGAAAGCCTATAATATCTCTGCAGAACAAATCAAAACCCGAAACAACAATGTCGCCAACTCTAGATTATTCAGGCTTAGATGCGAAACAGAGTTATGGCAATTTGAAGGACAACATCAACGGCAGCTTCAAACTTGTCCAGAAGAGCAGTGTCGATCTTATTTACGTGCCTCGGACGAACAAAGTGGTTAGAGTGAATTGTACGCGTGCTACGCGCTCCACTGAAGCTCGGAAAGAAACAACAATTGAAAGCTAGCTCTAGCACCAATTCCAGACAACACATTCTCGCAGCCAGAAAATCGCGAGGTGAAGCAACTAGCATTACCTTAAACGAAAGAACAACAAGTGCATTCGCACTCATGGTCGTCAGGAAAATATAGACTAAGACTACAACGGCATATTATCTTAACCTGAGGAACTTGGCTGAAGCGAAACCTCCGTGGCCATCGAAGACGGCGGCGAACGAGTAGCCGTCCAGGCCCTCGGTCCTCACGACGACGTCGTCCTCCATCTCCTCCCGGGCCCCCTGCAAGCTCGCGTAACCCCATCGGACGCCGGACACTTCCGCCAGCGACGGCGGCGCGTCGATCGCGATGGCGGAGCAGCACCGGCTCTTCGGCCTGGCGGCGGCCTTGGCCGGGGACCTGGAGGCCGGGTCGCGGGCGAGCTTGGCCGAGAGGAACCGCTGCAGCCGCGGGCTCAGCAGCGCCATGGATGGACCGAGTTCGAGGACCGAGTTTGTCCTGGCTCCCGGCGGATTTTGAGGAGCAGAGCAGAGCAGAGGAGAGATTCTTCGTTTGTGGTGGGTAGGGATGGGGGGCTGTGGAGAGATAAGAGAAGGAGAGGAGGATGCTTGGCCACTAATAACTGAAAATTTTTTTGTAACCGATTTGGAGCGACGGAGGAGATTCTCGTGCAGCGTTGGACAGTGCCGAGTCGGACGGGGCTCGTGTGGATTGCGGGCGAAATTTGAGTATCCCATTCGGCTGTCACTTTAGATTTAGATGCTCACCTTATCACTTTAGGAGAAAAATATTAGGTAGACACCGGTCTTGCCACGTAGGCGGTAGGACACTCCGCTCATTAATCGCCACGTGTTCCGAACGAAGCCCACGTTTTAGATTTTGTCTCTTTACCTCTCTCCCTCTCGCTTCCTCCTCCTCCTCCTCCGCCTCCTCTTCTTTGCACAGGCAACATCTCTTTCTACATCGCCGGCTTCCTTCTCCGTTGTCGGTCCACTCATTGATTTTTTTTGTCCTCATCCTCGCCCTCGCCCAGGCTGCGAAGGTCAAGTCTAAGGCAGCCCTTGCAAGAGCGATCCTCGATGGCAAAGTACATGCCATATGCCAAAGGGAAAGAAAAGAAAGAACAAGAAAAAAAAAGAGTTAATACCACGAAAAACCTTAAATTGGTACACTTGTGACACATTTACCCCAAACTATTTTTTTGACCATAAAAAATCCCAACGTAGACACTGTGACAATTTTATTCGAACTATTTTTTTGACCATCAAAAACCCCAAATGCCAGTACATCTCGTGACAATTTTACTCTTAACTTACCACAAAAAACCCCAAACTGGTACATATGTGACAATTTTACCCTGAATTAAAATTTTAATATTATTTTTTATTTTTTTCGAATTTTTATTTATTTTTTTATTTTTTTCCTTTTATTTTTTTTTTCTTTATCTTCAACCTCTGGCCGGTCGCCGGTCCAGCGACCGGCCAGAGGCGGAAGCCGGCGAGGGCCGTCCTCGCCAGATCCGGCAAGGGTGACCCTCGCCGGTATCGGGCGAGGGCTGCCCTCACCTGCGTCGGGCGAGGGCCTTCCTCGCCAGATCCGACGAGGACCGCCCTCGCCTGCGTCGGGCGGGGGCCGCCCCGCCGCGTCGGGCGAGGGCCTTCCTCGCCGAGATCGACGAAGCCGCCTCGCTGCGTCGGGCGGGGCCGCCCTCGCCGGCGTCGGGCGAGGCATCCTCGCCCGCCCGGGCAAGGGCGATCCTCGCCCGACTCGGGCGAGGGCGACCCTCGCCGTATCGGGCGAGGGCCCTCCTCGCCGTGATCGGGCGAGGGCGCCCTCGCCGTATCGGGCGAGGCGACCCTTGCCTGCGTCGGGCGAGGGTTGCCCTCGCCGGCGTCGGGCGAGGGCTGTCCTCGCCCGCCCAGGCAAGGGAGACCCTCGCCCGGCTCGGGCGAGGGCGACCCCGCTGCGTCGGGCGAGGCGGCCTTCGCCGGCCGGCGAGGCGGCCCCTGCCGGGCGGGCAAGGACGGCCCTCTCTTGAGTCGGGCGAGGCGGCCCTCGCCGGCGTCGGCGGGCGGCCCTCGCCGACAGCCGGCGAGTCGCTCTTGCTAGATCCGGCGAGGGTCGCCCTTGCCGAGTCGAGCGAGGGGCGGCCCTCGCCCGGCGGCTGAGGGCGCCCTCGGCGCTTCCGCCTACGGCCAGGTTCTTTGGGCCGGCTGACAGAGCCGAGGTTGAAGTGAAGAAAAAAAAAAAAGAAAAGAAAAAAGAAAAAATTCAAAAAAATAATATTAAAAATTAGTTGGGGTAAAATTATCACATGTGTACCAGTTTGGGGGTTTTTGTGGTATGTTCGGGGTAAAATTGTCACAGGTGTACCAGTTTGGGATTTTTTATGGTAAAAAAAATAGTTTAGGGTAAATGTGTCACAAGTGTACCAGTTTAGGGTTTTTCGTGGTAATAACCCAAAAAAAAAGAGCCTACTTGGATTGGGTATTTTACTGCTTACGCGGCAAGACTGACCTTTCTAATATTTTCTCGTCACTTCAGTCATCTTTTTGTAAGATCCTGGGAGGGGTGGCCAGCGGCCACGGGAAATATGACAAGTCCACATGCTGCCCTCGGGCACGATTGGCCCAACCCCAACATTTTTATAAATTAAATTAAATTAATTGAAGAAAAATTTGAAAAAAATGATAAGCAAATTTGAATTTTATAAATTGCAATATGCAACACATATAACTACAGGTGATTGGTTTCATAGTGGGTCGATTCTTACTCTGAAACCTAGAATCACGGAATTGGCCCACTCTGTCCTAGAACGGACCCATTTGGTTTGGTCCGGTTTTAGGGTTGGTTTCGAATCCGATGATTTTTCCTTTTTGGTTTTTTCTATTCCCTACAACTAGGAGTTTCCCGACATTAAAAGAAAGAAATAAATTACGAATTAGGATTTGCTTCAAGATAAAAAAAAAAAGTAACAAAAATGAAGAAATCTTGGGACCGGTCCCTCTAAGAACTACCTTGAATCGACCTATCCGGTTCGGTTCATTTCGCATCCCAGGTTGGATCGGGATCGACGCACAACCCTACGTATAACCCGGAAAAAAAATTAAAAATAAATACGAGTGAGTGAAGTACAAGTACGTCTTGAATTACCCCGTAAATCTTATGGGCCCGCAGAGCAAAAGCATGTTCGCCTGTGCTCAAACCGAACCGCGCGATCATCTCGGCCCGGTCCGACCCTCCAAAGAAGAAAACGGGAGGAACAGAGACCGAACCGTGCAGGGGCTTTATCAGAAACCTATCAATCCCCAATCCCACCAGGCCTACCTCGCGCGCTGTAGATTCGACCCTGCAAATTTCTCCGTCCCCGGAAGATGGAGTTCCTCTGTTCTTTGACCGGCACGGCGACGCCGTCGTCGTCTTCTCCTCTCCTGCCTTCTCTCCGCCCCAGCGCCTACAGGTAAATCCTCCTCCTCCTCCTCCTCCTCCTCTCCACGACGACCGCGTCACCGCTTCGAAGGTGTAACGGTCGGTTACCGGGACGCCCCGGATAGCTGAATTCCTCCTCCTCCTCTGCTCTAAAAACCATGGTTTTTCCAGGACGAGACCGCCGTTTCCGGTGGCCGCCGCCGCCGCCGCGACGCTGCTCTCCGTTGCTGATCTCCGGCGGCGGACGTTCAGGGGCGGGGTCGTCGCCGGTCCGATTAGAGCCGCTGCTAGTTCCGGCGTGACGAGTAAGGATCGAGGCGGCGGAACAGCGGCTGACCTCGGGAGGTAGGGACTATCTCCTCATCCTCGGCTTTTGAATACTGTGTTTGATTGTTTGAAGTTCTGTGGTTAGAAAATGTTCCGAGAGTGCGTGGTTTGGGAGTGCCCGAGGCGTGACGAGTGCGGTCGGTGTTCGATGTGTGAAAATTGGCAGGTCGGAACCGTCCGCGGATTCCTCGGGAGGCGTGCACGAGTTCGAGAGAGAGTTGCAGGAGTTGTTCGATGAAGTCAAAGGTATGATTGCCGCAGGGAAGCATGAGGATGCCATAAGCCTGCTTCGAGCGAATTTCGAAGCTGTAAAGGGAGAAATAGATGCAGGTTCTAGGAGCATCGAAGAAGCTGCTGTTCTTGACGTTTTAGCCCTGGGGTACATGCGCATTGGAGACTTCAAAATGGTCGAGACCATACTGGAGATGGTAATCTTTATTTTTATTTTTATTTTTATTTTGAATAATTGCTCATTTGCAGGGTGATGCACCCGCCCCTGGGGAGGGGGGGTTGATTAGGTGGAGCTTTAGAATGCATTTGATATAGAGTATTTGTAGTTGCTTTCATGTTACACGGGGAAAAGGTGGTGCCTAAGTATGATATAATTTGTCAGGTGCCTTTCTTAAGAGAAATAATCAACAAATACTTATGTATGTTTCTGTTGTATATTCTCGCCTGTGCTGTTCTGGAGGTTGACTGCGCTGTTGTATGAGGGAGATCCAACGACTTGTTGCCTGGCTAATTCCCCTTGTGATTAAACTCTTCATCTCAAACTTGAAATGATGATGTTGTGATGGATTCACCTAGATCTGAAGCCATGCGTTGGATGCTAAAGCACATTAATCACGATGTTTTTCTTCAATGTTTGAGGCCGCGATTCTTCTCTTATCTGTTGTTGCATTTCATGCATGACCAGATGAACGAAGTTGTTGGCAATATATACGATGATGGACGTCTTTTTGGATCAGTACTTATGCATATGGGAAGCATGTATTCCAGTTTGGGGAAGTTTGAGAAATCAACAGTCATGTACCGAAGGTCTATTAGCATTCTTGAACAGCTATATGGTACGTGCGATGTTCAATCTTAAACTCTACGGGTTTGCTTGGGTCTAGCTTAAAGACCAATAGGATAGCTCTGTTGGTTGGTCTTGCATGGATGGTTATGTCGCTGACTTGACTATGTTGGACTAAGCAGCTAATGGGTGGCCATAATGTTGACTGCAGCTGCATGAACTAGTTGTTAAAATCATATGTTTGGCAGTTTGTCTATTTTATCTGTTTACCTTGTGCTAGTATATTGATGTGAAGCGATTTGAATGCCATTTCACGTTTTTGAAGTAAGAGGAATTGCTATTATCTATCATTTGACAAGAACTTGCATTGCATTGAGTGCAATTTATCTGAACTCATGTTCATCAATGTGTTTGTTATGTCTCCGTAATATCTCGGATTTTGTCTGAGGTTATGAATGTTCAAAATGAAGTTATTTGAGGTGATTAATGAAAGATGTGGTGCATCGCAAATTTTAAAAAATCATCAATCTAAACCTTTGGTAGTTGAAGAAGATGGATGTTGTTTCGTTTTCAACTCGGTTAATATTAGGATACCTCTTGAGTCTTCACTACCAAAAAAACATTATCTTGATTTCCTAAACGTACTACTTTTGTTGTTTAGGATGTTGGTATCAAAGTCAACAATTTGTTACTTTAAATTTTATATGCAAAAAAAAAAAATTCAGATTAGGTTTGCTTATTGCTATGACATGTGTAATGGGCATGTCCATTGGATTGTGCTGTTCAATCTATTATACACTAAATATCATTTAATCCTTATAAGATTTTTTCAACTGTGTTTGTGATTCCACTACCGTTTCCTAAGCTACTTTACAATTTTAGATGCGATCTTCCATTACAATTTTAAGCACCCTAGCAGTCCTAGAGAAAAACGCGATTTTGACTACCTTGATTATCTTCTGTCAATACAAAAACACGAGACTTGTGATGAATGCACGGTGCTGTTACACTCTCACTCTGTTGCTATTTTGTATAATGCCAATTCTTATCTTTCTCACAATTTGGAGTTCACTTAGAGCAGAAATGCTAAATGTCAGCAATTGTTCTTCGCTTATTTTTTATTTGTTGAACTGTAGGTGAAACTAGTACTTTTCTTGTCATGCCATTACTGGGAATGGCAAAGGCTTTGGGCTCTATTCAAAGAACATCTAAAGCTACAGAGATATACCGTCGTGCAATTAGCATTCTAGAATTAAGTAGAGGCCCTGAAAGTGAAGATTTGGCAGTTCCTTTATCTGGTCTTGGCAATCTTCTGATAATGGAAGGGAAGGTTGACGATGCAGAGAGTCCTTTTGCTAGGTTTGCACTGAATTCTGCTTGCTGATGTGTACTACTTATTAAGCAGTAGTGAACCCTGCGATATATGTTTAACTTGCCTTCTTGATGTTTCTGTTAGAATTGTAAGCATATATAAAACCTTATATGGAGACAAAGATGGAAGAGTTGGAATGGCATCATCTTCTCTTGCCCATGTGAAATGTGCAAAAGGTAATTTCTTACTCTCTCCTACTCTCAATATGGATCTCCCTCTTACTCCCACTGTAATATTTTACTTTGCTTCAATACTCTAGCCTTTTGATAGTTGAAACTTAGTGTAGATCAGCCTGGGTGATGAGAGGGCCATGCTTTGAGAAAAATGAAAGCGATTATAGTGGGTGATAGTAGAAAGTCCTTTTCTGATATAAGCTTTCCAGCATGTAGAAAGCGAGTTTTGTTCTGTGTATGACTATCCTATTTCTCACTAATTTTTCTATTAAATATTTTCCTTAACTAATGTTAAGTTGCATGTTTACAGGAGATGTCAATGAAGCTATTAACTTATACAAAAGTGCCCTTCAGATCATTAAGGATTCAAATTCTATGGCTTTGGATGATCCCACGATGGAGAAGATGAGAATAGACCTGGCCGAATTACTTCATGTTACCGGAAGGTTTACATTTACTACTCTATCTGGCCGAATTACTTCATGCTATTATTGTTTTGTAATCTGTCATCATAAGATGCATATTCAGTGTACTTTTTCTTAACACTTGGTCTTAAAATATTTTGAACTTCAGCTGAAGTTTTCTTTGTCGTACTTATTATAATGCTAAGAGTATTAAGGGGCATGTTTATTGGATTCCTCAGATAATCATAGAGCTTGCCTGTCTTTCTTCCATCTACCCTTTGCCATAGAGAATAGTATGTAGATGGCTTTCAAGGAAGTACTCTTCCGACATGCTGACTGAGGATGTGGCTTTGACATTTTTAGGGGCAGGGTCAACGTACAAGAGATGTTCATAAGTCTTTCATTAATCTCTTCTGGTAAATTGTCTAATCTTGGCCTGCAAAGGGGGCAAGCTGAGGGTTTAATAGGGCCTATGGTTGTTGGGGCTTTATGGTGTTTGTCCTTTAATTGGTATTTCATAGTGTTTAATTTGGTATTCTTGATAATGAATATGGGTTAATACCCTCGTGGTATTTATTCGAATATCCATAAAGAAAACATTCCCAATCTGACAGTTATCTGAGTGTATAATAATTGATTATGCATTTGAGATATCACAGAATGAAAATTTAAAGAAAACAACACTATTTTCCGGGCAAGTGAAGGCAGCTAGTAGTTCGCTTTTTCATTTGATTTAATGTGGCACTTGCAGGGGTAACGAAGGGCGACAGCTGTTGGAGGAGTGCTTGTTAATTTCTGAGAAATATAAAGGAAAGGATCATCCAGATTCTGTTAGACACCTTCTAAATCTTGCAACATCCTATTCTCGCTCAAAAAACTTTGTGGAGGCAGAGCGCTTGCTAAGAACCAGTTTAGATATAATGACGAGGACCTTGAGGCCTGATGATCCCTCCGTCAGCTTTCCTATGCTTCATCTTGCAGTGACTCTATACCATTTGAAAAGGGATGAAGAAGCTGAAGAACTTGCCAAGGATGCTTTGCTGATTCGCGAGAAAGCATTTGGAGAAGATTCTCTACCAGTTGGTAAACTCCAGTTTTTCCTGTCTTCGTTAATATTATCTCTATGCATTGTCTCTGTCTTCACAGGAAACATTATTTTGTGGAGTTACATTATGCAATGTTAATCTTTACACAAATGGACTGGGTGGCTTTTATGGACATCTTGAAAACATTGGGAATTCCCTATTCTATTGCAGGCTGGCAGCTTATATTCTTCCCCTCTGATTTGTCTTGCAGGGGAGGCTCTTGACTGTTTAATTTCGATCCAGACTCGCATGGGAAAGGATGATGACAAGTTAGTGGTGCTTCTCCAGAGGGTTCTAAAAATCCAAGAGAAAGAGATAGGTTATGAGAGTGAAGAAGTCGCAGTAACCCTGAAAAAAGTTGTGTTCTATTTGGAAAAATTAGGAAGAAGGGATGAAAAAGTTCAGTTGCAGAAAAGATTGTCTGTACTCAGGATGAAATACAAGCAAATGATACATTATTAGTTTCTTGGCACATCTGCTTCCATCTCCTTCAGGGTGATTTGGTATGTACAAGTGGGACCATTTTGAAAATCAAGTGAATACCTCTACATTATCCTGACGTTGTGATATTATCAGGAACTCGTGGTTTAGGTAGATGCCCTTATCCTGCCTTGTCAGATAGGAATTTTCGGGCCATAGTTGTTGAATTTATACCTACTTACTCAAGCAACTTGTCGGAAGATTCATTTAATTACTGGCGGCTGTGACTGGGATGGGCATTCTATGAGGACGGCAGTTTCGTTAAACAGACAGAAGAGCCAATTCATCTAACTATTGGTTATTGAGGTAGCACTTGATTCCCTTCTTGATCTGCTCTAATTACTTTAGATTCCTTTCTTGATCTGTTTTAATAACTGCTTTCATATCATCTATGATCACAGCAGTGAAAAGGCTTTAAAGGAAGAGTGATGCCTTGTTAATGTTTCTCTTTTCGAAATCAGAAAAAAATACTTTCTCTGAGCATTTTCGTGCGAAATCAGTCATCAATTTACTCTTATATTGATTACCCCTATCAACAAAAATGTCCAGCGGAGGTTACTGAATTGGCTGCAGACAGTTCTAATACTTAAATTTATTATAGTCATATTTAAATTTATGGGCTGCAGCATTCATGTGTCAAGTTGCCTAAACTGTTGTGATGGCTGTGACACCTAGTTCTGATGGCTAGTACTGTAATACTATGGTCTATACTGTGATTACACATTGTTCTCAGAATGTCATGCTTTCGGAGTTATTGCATTCTAAAGAAACCATAATTTCAATACTGAAATTTAGTTTCAGATGATTTGATCATGGATGGAAGAATGTTAGACACAAGTAATCGATAGAAAGAACTTCTGCTAGTTGTTAGCTCCCTGTAAATTTTGCTAAAACATCTATCTGCCTCTTTGATCCCTTTTCAGGAGCAAGGCGATGTCAGCAACAGGGGTTTCTTGGCAACAAGTAGCTCACCAAGGCAATATCCGAAAAATACATCCCTACATACGACAGTCACCACCTTCTTCATAATCAGTAGTGATGATGCAACGGCAGACTCGGCGGACCTGCAACTCGATAATTTGTGGCAGGGTGTGGAGTCCCTATGGTTACTCCCAAGGGAGGTAGCTAATTGGTTGCTCCTCTCACCGTTTTCAATTTTAAAAAGAAAATTACTAGTGATAAGAGAACCTTCGACTGGTGCTAATCATAGTGGATAACAGTTGAGATCACCTTCACCTGTTCTTTGTACAGAGAGCCTCTTGCACTTATAACTTGACATAAAGGGGAAGAAGTAGATAATTGTGCGACCCGACTCAGGGAACCGGAAGGGATCATGTTTTGACAGCTACAAGGCATGGACGCTAAATGTGAATTTTTTGGTCCGACATATAACTGCCATGTGGAGCCAGTATCAACTGCAGTGGTAAGTGGTTCTAGTCTCCACACTATTTGTTTGAAGAATGGTGTTGTGCTCTTTCCAAGTAGCTGTCCAGGATGATAGTCTGCAGATGACACTGAAAGGAAAAGAGTGGGAGAGAGTTCCATTGCTCGGATATAGGTCCTACCTTCTTACTGAAATTTTAAAGTGTTTTGCCTCAATGAAGAAGCCGCTTTCTCCCGACATTCGATGCAATTGGTGGGGAGCTGGGAAGAATGACTCATCTTATTCGAGTGTCAATTAATTCGAGTTGTGAGTTGGAATTTGTACCGAGGATCATCTGACATTCACTCGTGATATTAGATACTCTCTACCGGGACAATCTCACGTTGGTTTTAAATTCTTATCGATGAAGGTAGAATACTAGCTATCAAAACAGCAATCATTGATATTGGGGCTTTTTTCTATTCCGGTCCGGCACTGATTATCTATTATTCTACAGTTACCGAACTTGCTTCCCTGGGGCTGATCCATATGGTGTTTGTTTGGTTGGTTGTAGAAGAGTTTCGAGTTCTGGGCCAGAATGTCTGGTCTCAGAACGGACATTTAGGTCCTGCTCTTCTCTTCCTGCATTCTTTGTGACGATGACGGCCGCCACGGCAACCTAGTCTTTGGGCTGGTTGTTGTTGTTTTCCCTTTATTGCTTTGGTTCGGTTTGATTCCAGAAGTAATCAGGATCCCACGTCAACTTCGATCGGCCAAAGCCTACCCAAGCTCTCCTCTCCACTCATATATTCATACATGCATGTAAATTCGACATTATCTAAACATGCGGCTTGGTTCTCCAATGCTTCTCGTCGTCGGCTAATTTTATAATGCAAAAATCTGCCTCAGTGTCCAACCGTTTCTCACGCAAACGTGTTTAATGGGTCGAATCAACACGCGAGTTGGCCACGGAGAAACTTCGCGGAAATCAATTTTGGCAAAAATGATTGGATTTGACCCATGTGTGGCCGCCGATTAACATACCAATTAGGACTTCGATTAAAGAAATAGTTCGAAGGACGTGGACTAGAAGGAGGAGCCCACGTCCCCGGTTGGGGAAGAATTAGTTGACCGGTCCTTGTACGAGATCATTGCTACATGGGTACATAGTTCAACTTGCTATTGAATTGTTAACTTTCCCAAAGATCAAGTAATGAACATGGAGACATGTTGTTGTTGCTGCAAATTGACTAATTTTGTTAATCACGCTTGAATTGAAGTCTTTGCTATTATTGGGTTCGTGCTTTGTGGTGAAGGAGCTTAGCTAGCAAGAAACTGTCGGTGGCAACTCTTGATCATATCTCTCTTTGCCTTTAATTAAGAGAAAAAGAGATATAAAATTTGGTCTAATCCCTTGAAAAAAAATCCCCAATTTCAGGTAAGATCCCGATTTTGCTGAGGACTTTTTTTTTTTTTGGTCTAGAAAGGAATTCCCAAATTTGCCCACGCGTCCAAAAATCGTCACGAATTTCCTCAAAATTATCGACATGGAGGCCAATTTGAGGTTCATTATCAGAATCCTCGTCTCTATCAATACCATTACCTTCGTATCCTCTCGTTATTGATAATCTTGAAAAAATTAATGGCGATTTTTGGACGGATGTCCATTTACGACGAGGGAGGACTTGTGCATGTAGATAACAATGATACGTAAGAGTAACTTACGGAGCTTCGGAAATAACGCACATGATATTCGTTTCGGTCCAATCCCCCTCCGATCCTCCACGTGTCGAAATTCCAGCGCCTTCCGATCCTGATCCCGAGGAGTGGTCCCCCCTGTGGAACTTTGACTTTCGGCCGGCCCCACCCCCCCGACCATCCTACGTGGCGAAAGGCCGCTGCTTATCCGCCACGTCCGCAGCTTCCTTCCTCCCGTCCCTTTTTATTGAACATTCTTCATTCTCTCTCTCTCTATCTCTCTGTTCACACAGAACCATTACTGTGCCTTCTTCTTCTTCTTCGATCGTTCTCTGCATTCTCGTCGTTCTCGCTCCGTCGATCGACGTCGCTCTCTCGCGTGGGAGGCAACAATGCCGCACTGCCCCGTGGACGACAGCGGGACCGACATCTTCTACCGGACCTACGGCGGCGGCCCTGTCAAAGTCCTCCTCATCATAGGTCTCTCCCCCCGCAAAAAGAAAAAAAAAACTCCGCTTCTTTGGGATTCCGAGCATGGTGTGCTTCTTTCGCTTTCTGGGTCAGTTTCTGTTTCGCCTGATGTGATGTTTTTCGGTGGTGGGTAACGAGCAGGGTTGGCCGGGACGCACGATTCTTGGGGACCCCAGATTCGAGGATTGGCCGGCACCGACCGGCCCAACGACGAGGCTCTTGGGGGAGCCGGCGCTGGCGGTGGTGATGGTGGGGTCGAGGTGTGCGCGTTCGACAATCGTGGTGCGGGCCGGAGCTCCGTGCCCGCCGACAAGTCGGAGTACACGTGAGTCCGATCGACGCATACCGTGAGCTTTCTAGTTCGTTTGAGTGTGTGCTGCTTCGTGGAGTTTCTTGAATCGGGAGTGTATTCTCCGGAGAAATGGTTGCCAGTTGGTGCAAAGCTAAAATGCAGCTTCAGCTTTCCTTGGGACTAATCGTGGACATTGGATGGCTTTCTTAGTCTTTTAGTTTGATGATAATTTGGTGTTGTTCCAAAAACATTTTAACGAAAATTGACTTTGACTTTCAATGTGATTTCTGGTGCAGGACAAAGATTATGGCGAAAGATGCGATTGCTGTACTCGATCACCTGGGTTGGGAAAGAGCCCATGTCATTGGCCATTCAATGGGTGAGTTTTGAATGACCCAAATTTCATGGATGCTTATTTGGCTCTGTGGTTCATATGAGATTTTGAAACAACCATTCTGATTGCACTATCTGGATGCCTGGATTTTTTTTTTTTTGGTCAGACTGGATGCCTGGATTTATCTGGCCTTGTTATAAACTTAATAATGAACTAAAGCTCACATCCATGACATGTCTACCTGTGAGTCCAGATTGGGTTCCTGTTTGTTTCAGGGTGACTAACTGCCTCTTTGGCTGTCAAAACAGGAGCTATGATCGCTTGCAAGTTGGCTGCCATGGTGCCCAACAGAGTTTTATCTTTAGGATTGCTCAATGTGACTGGTGGAGGTTATGAATGTTTCCCAAAGGTATTGCATCCATTTCAGTATGCGATGGTCCTTCCTTTGAATAGAGATTGACATTTTTCTCCATGCAAACTAAAAGGGGAAAGAATGTTCTTCCCAGTTTCTTTTATCATTGAAAGAACTATTTGTTTGCGTGGGTGTTCGCTGTTCAGTACTTTACAGACAGGTTGTTCATTTATCGCATGCTGAGCCTGTTCCATGCTCCTATGCTTTGCTTTAACCACATGAACAAGAGGAAATTGATGTTTTTTACTGACATACTGCTTAGAAAGGAGCCGTTATGAACTTTTACTGGTTGGTTACTTGCGGATTTTAATCCATGTCAAGAATGTTCCTTATTAATGTTTGCGCGCAGTAGCAGAAGTTGCTTTCACAGTTTGCATCTCTTGAATGTCCCAGTCACAGCTACCGTACAAAATCATTCAGATGGAAAAATCTTCAAAAGATCTCATTGCATCACCTGAATATCCCAACCATAGCTACCGCACAAAATCATAGAGATGGTTATTTTTTCAAAAGATCTCTCGTTGATTAGCTACAGGAGTCCTTTTCCTTGTGAAAATGAGAAGCAATGCAGAGACATAGGACTTAACCTTGGATATTGTGCGGGAACAATTATTTTTTGAAATAGAGATTCTAGGAAAGATCAATATCTAGCGAGAGCCTTTCTGCATCGCAGTTGCAGTCTTCCTGAGATGATTCCGTGTTTTCATATAGGCAAAAAAGGGTCCTCTCACAGTTTGCCTTTTAATGGTGAAACTGCTTATTGTTCACTTGAATCCATTCGGATTCTGTATCTTGACCTCACCATATGATGGAACATTGTTATCGGGGGAGCGGAAGCTGTTTTGACTTTCCTCAAGAAAATTGGTTTCATTATTACTTTCCCACAGAAATTCGCGTACTTGTATTAAGTAACTAGTTGTGCTATTTACTATGTAGATTAAATTAGTTTAGATGATGCAATTGCTTTGTCGCTTAAAACAAAAAAAAAGTTGAACCCAGTCCTGATATCGCATTTGAGCCACTATTTGAGTAGTCTAACAACGATATTTTGATACATGTAGATTGACCGGCGAACCATCTCAATTGCAATCCGCTTCTTTAGGGCTAAAACTCCTGAACAAAGGGCTGCTGTTGATTTGGATACCCACTACTCAAAGGTAGGCAGTACTTATGTACTTAAACCGTCATTGTAAAATCCACTGCATCCTTCTTCCATCCCTGTCAAAGGAGAAATACTTAGTCTTTCTCCATCCCGAAAGAAACAAGGATTTTAGGAGAACAATCAGTGGTTCCGTGATAGTATGAATTAAGGACTCCAGTAAATTCAATTGTGTTCTTATGATTGGAGTCTTTCTTTTGGGATATCGAAGTGCATTGATGTTTTAGATAATCTCTATGTGTGTGTGAGAGAGAGAGAGAGAGACAGAGACAGAGAGAGAGAGAGAGCAATCCACAGGGTAAAGCTGTTTGTCTATTTTTCTTTCTCTTATGGAAGCGTAATGTATTATGTGCAGGAATATCTTGAGGAATATGTTGGATCTACCACCCGGAGGGAAGTACTCCACCAAGTAAGAAATCTTGAGAAATCTCAAGTTTCTTTGGTCTAGCATTAACTTAATGGAGTTAACTCTACATGGTCTTGGTAACTCTGTGTTATTTAGAGACTTCAAGAGGGTTCTCTAAGGTTTAGTAAGTGTTTATGTCTACAAGTGTTTTCCAGGTTTAAATGCACAACAATGCCATATAAACAAGTGCCAAACTATCATTGAGTTTTCCTATCCTTACGATTTCCAGAGATGCATTTGCTTTGGTGTTCACAGTTAAATGGATCTACCTCTGAATAACCATGGTGAAATATGGTATTTTACCTAGGCAACTTTTTTTCACTTATGACTATACACCTTTGCTTGGAGTTTATTGAAACTGAATGAACTTAATAAGAGATTACTTTTCTGAAAATTGCCATTTTGTTGAAGCCAATAATTGGTTTTTGACTAGTTTAATTTTATAATTGTAGTATAACATTGATAACTTGACTAAGGACTAGATCCAATCACTTGCAGGAATATGTAAAGAGTATTACATCAACAGGACTGCAGTCAAACTATGGCTTTCAAGGTCAGATAAATGCTTGCTGGAAGCATAGAATGACAAGAACAGAGATAGAATTAATCTGCTCGGCTGGATTTCCTGTATCTATCATTCATGGAAGGTATATGACTAACCTTATGAACTGACATGACAAATGATAGTGGCAGTTCACCAGGAAATTTGTAAGAACATTGAATGAGAACATTGCAGTAGGTTAAGGAAACAGGAATTTAATGGCACAATGTCCTCAATGTTGATATTTACCTCTCCTCAATTAATACGTAACTTGATGATGCCTCCTGCAGCAGTATCCCGGTAATGATAGAGGGACATGAACACCTTTGGGTGTTTCCCAACATCAACCATTTGCTTTCATCACATTTCCACAAGGACCAACCAAGATGTATAGGTGATTTGACAGAATCAGTTATCACTGTCAATAAGTATTAGTTCCTGATTTAGTGGAATGGTTTGAGTGGCGTTCTCTCAACTCTAAATTTCTTCAGATAGTTTCAAATGCTTGTTGCAAACAGTGTAACTCTACTTCAAAGATGATTAAGATTTCTCTATTATATTCAATTGCAATCCGTGTCATTTGGCAGAATGTTGGCGATTTTGCTGTATGTTTACCTTGTTGTATGCAGGCATGACGTTGTTGCTCAAATATGCCATGCAAGGAGTCTGGCAGAGAAATTAAAGCCTGTTGCTAGAATGATAGAGCTTGATGGAGGGCACCTAGTGAGTCATGAGAGGACTAAAGAGGTACTTTATTTGGAACAATAATTGGAAAGTTAGATACTTTTTTTTAGAGGGCAGTTTTTCTGGCACTACTACATGCTTGCTCCATGATAATTTATAGAGGGCAATTAGGTTTTCAAAGTGCACTGGACAAACATGTGAATAAGTTGGATGAAATCATTCTAGACAGTGCTTATAGGTTTTGTGCTAATTATCAATGAAATGGATATACTTTAATTCTTTCAATTGACTTGTTGTGTGTATGAATTGAGATCAAAAGGAATTTGTAAAGTTTATTCAGACTCGAGAGGTTTTTAGATGTGGCTTCTGAACATATTATTGCAGTCCAGAGTTTCTCAAAAATGAGGGAATCACATCAAACTGTTTCGGTATTTTAGTCATGCAAGTTGATTTAATTGTCTGGGCTTGATTGTTGAACTGCAAAAAATGGATTGAAGCTATGCTCATGTTCAGGTTAATCAAGCTCTTCTCGAGCTGATCAAGGTATCAGAAATGAAGGTCGTCCAGCATGATTGGACTGACTTGCCTACCAATAGCCCTGGTGAGTATATCCATGCTCAGAATGATTTCCCGGTCTCATTTATTCATTCTCTGAAGCATTTGTGCACGTTAGATGCATGTGAGGTCACATGTATGTATGTAAATGCGTGCATATACCATACGCACAGGTGTATAGGCACATGCCCATCATGTAAAAGACCATATGGGCCAAGCCTAACCCCATTCATTGGCATTGATCTTATCTAAACAAAAATGACACTTGCACTACGATATCTGTTAGGTTAACTATGTTTATGCGTTTCCGAAAGAACTGCAAGTGCTGATATCTACTGATCCTTTACAGGATTGCCAGAGACAAGTATGCCTATTACAAGAACACATGCAGAGGGAGACTTACTTATGTGTCTTGTTAATGGCGTTATCGAAAGGCTAAATTTTTTCCTGTGGCACTTTTTTGGTTGGTTAATGATGGGATTTGAGTCTGGAAGAAAGGCAATGGAATTCCTAAAGCCTATCAAGGTCCAACCTGCCCTCACATATTCACAAAGCTATTAATGCGCAGGACCCTCTTTCTGACTGGTAATGTCATTTCTGTCTCCAATTTAAGACCCGAGTTCTTTTTATGACATGCGGGCGTAGTTAAATTTTTAGGTACCGGAAAATCAATATTGACTGTTTATTTGCTCCCTTTTACATTGCAGAGTTTCTTCCACCAGAGTAGAGTGGCTCCTGTAACATGATCCTACTGAAAATACAAGAATTTGACTATGCAATGAGACTGACAGAAGTGTCAAGCCCGTCCAGAGAGAAGCCAACTTTTAAGGCAGATTTCTCTAGGATAGGCAAAGAGGGAGACAAATTTGAGAATTGAGAACCCCTCCCTTTCAACACTAAATTGTATTTCATTGGAGTATCAGCAAAATTTGTAACTATTGACTAGAAAAACTATGTTTCTTGATATCTTTAATGAATCGATGCGGTTTCTTAATAATATTCAATGAAGTTTCTCAGTCCGTCTTGTGTGGATAATGCTTCCCCACTCGTGGAAGTGCTCCTAACGACCTAGACCTTGTAGTTTATTTCGCGTGTATGACTAATAACATGAAAGTGCTTCATCATTCATGCGAATGATACTGACAAAACAGTAGACTCCAAGTGAGTTTCAAAGTAATCTATAAGATAAACGTATCTCTCACGAGGTTTCCAGGAATAGCGGTGTGACATTCGATTTCTTTTTCATTAACTGTTAAAATTTGGAGTGACAATTGCTACATGTTTCTGCTTTTCTGGATAAAAGGATGGCCCGGCGATGGTCGGTTGTTATTAAGATCTCCAGACATGGGAGGTCCTAGATCTGACGGATGGCTATCATTCCCCGCACCTTATTTCCTTTAAGCCCGACCTTTCGATGGAGAGACCGAGGAACGCGGTACCGACGCTTGTGAATTGGTCTGAAAATTTACTTCGTTTTTCAGACCCATGCATTTTAACTCTAATCTTCGAGGCCATGTACATGCCACTACAAGCAATATCACCAGAAAATAAGACGTCTAACTTATGAACAAAACACAACCGTGGGAGACGGGAGTTTCTGTAAAAAGAAACTTAGTAAATTTATACAGAGAGAGAGAGAGAGACTTGCCTGATTGATACTTTTTCTGAGAGGAGAGAACCTCTGTGAAGAGATCTTGCAGTTGCAGGATGAGGAGAATGAAGAGAAGGGGGAAGAAGTAAGGAAAGAGTCTTTTAATAAGATGCCATATGCCGTGGAATATTATTTCTTGGACAAGGGAAACATTCCAGTTATACCTGTGGAATATACCAATATGCCTAGCTTCTTTCAGCTTCACAAGCGAAGTCGAGCATCGCCTCTCTACTTCCTTTAATGCCGTCCCTTTTGAGTATACCGAGTTATTTCCCTCGAGAATCGTTTCATATGAAACTAAATACCATAAAAGTGTTTTATAGCAACCTGATGTTTTAGAGAGAAGGCACCAGAGGCAAGGTTAAAGTGATTAATTACCCAAATAAGTTTCGGCATGAGTTGCTCTTCCGAGCTGACATATCTCCTCAGGTTGAGATTATATCCAGTCACATGAATTTGTGTTGTGGTTGCAACTATGCATAATCCTATACAATGTCGAGTAACTGCATACATATATTACAGAGGGTAAAAGAGGTAAAAGAAAGGGGAAGCATGAGAAGAAATGGTTGATCCCTCCAACACACTTCACCTAGAACTCATCTCTGTTTCATCTCATCGGTTATCTCCTCCGATGTATTATCCCATCGCAAGCTAAGGTTCCTTCAAGGTCCCCGATGATACGAGCTATTCGGACTTCCAGGCCTCTTTGGACTTCTTGAAACAGAGTCCTCACACTATCGGCAAACCGCTTTATGTCAAAGCTGGCAGATTTTGCGAGTTCTTCAGCTGCTACAACAAATCCGACGGCGATCTTTGATTGTATCTCCGTCAATTTCTGTCCGGTCGCAACCATGTACCGTTGAAGCTGAAACGTTTCCTCGAGAAAATTCTCTAGTGTTTTAGTCTTTCCCCTTGATTTCGGGGCATTGGAATCCACTTGACTCACATCCAGATTGTTCTCGTGCTGAAAATTTAGATAAGGATCAGATTACAGTTAGTGTCATTCTAAGTAAGCACAGAGAGGCGGAAAAAGAGAAAGCACTGTAGAGATTTTAAGGGGAGGACTATAAAAATTCTCTCTTTTCCTTTTTGGCTTGTAAGTCTTGTGAGAGTAATCTATTACTAGATAAAAGACAGGAATTGGAATCTCTTCGCTAGCTAAAAATAGGAACCGGAATCTTTTCAGATGAGTGTTAATATCAAACTTGCTGTTGCTGATGCTAAACAATTCATTTATTGCCTGGCAATAAAACAACCATCCAATGGGAAAATCAATTAACATATTTCAATGGATTAGGCTTCACCATATGATATTTCTGTCAGTACCAAGTCCATAAGTTGAGAGTGCATTATCTATAGGAGAAGCTTACCATTCGCTTGCAAAGATCATCGGCTTTTTCTTGGAGCGACTGATACCGGCCGACTTGTTTGGTCAACAAAGAAACAAGCGAAAGGAAACCTTTGTTGCCATTGGGTCCATCATCTTTGCTTTCGACATTTTTGCTGCTTTCTTTCTTTCCCATCAACCTCTCAAGCATGAGAAGTTGCTGCTTCAGCCTCTTGATCTTGTACGAAACTCCAAGAGCTTGAAGATCTATTTTCCAGGAAGAACTTTTTGTCTTGCTTGAAATCTGGCTCACAGACGGTAAATTTTGGAGAGTGCCCAAATCTGTGGAACTTCCACTTTCTTCTCTTATAGGAACAGAATCACCAACATCCTCCTGTACTTCAGAAACTTTTTGAGGAGATTGGACCTTCATCACTTCGGCGGGCTGACAAACTAATGCAGTTTCAACTATTACTTCTGCATTTTCGTCTCGAGAAGCTTTCGCTGCCGATCTATCTGCTTTTTTTTCCTTATGCCCCGGTCTTCTCTTAACGATCTTAACTTCAGACCAAATGGTACCTTCAACTAGCTCAGGATCATGGATAGATGGATCATTTAAAGGCCTCTGGAAATTAATATGATTTGATTGTGAAGCGAGCTGCAGTTTCAAAGCACCGAGCTCGTCCTCTCGTGCAAGCAACAGGGCTTCCAACTTCGTATTAGTGTTTTTGAGTTGAGATATGTCTCTATTCAAAGCCTCAACATGGGACCGCAGTCGCTTAGATTCAATTTCCATGCTCAGCATCCGCCAACGAAAAGCTTCCAATTTCTCATCTTTGAGCCTCATCTGTTCCACGAAGGCATTTAGCTCAAGGTGATGCCTTTCCTCGACTAGAGTTGCATATTTCTCTGCTTCCGAATGTACCCAGTGTTCCAATTGCTTGACATCAGTCGTGATAGCTTCAAGGACCAGAACAGATAAACAGTTAGGAATTTCAAAGAGAGGCAGAAAAAGTAGACAGAAAACATCCTAGCCAAGAATTTCATGATGAGTTATATGTAATTCATGTTTCAAGAATTAGCAAGAGGAAATTCACAGAAAGCCAGGAAAGAGACTATGGCTTCTACCTAGTGCCTCAGTTTGTTCTTGAGAATAGCTATCATAATCAGGAGAGCATGCCTCTATCTCCCCAGAAAAATTGGGATTCTCGTATTCAAGAAGATTATTTGCCTGGAACCTGGCCTTTCCAATGAGAGACGACCCCGTCGCACCCGAATTCAGTTTTCTTGTTCCGTATATACCTTCAAGTTTTAGATTGACTTGGTTAGCCAACATACTTCTCAACGAGTGTCGCCCATGTTGGGCCTTGGACACGGACCTCAATCTTTCTGTCTCTAGTTCTGCCTGTTTCCTCTTAGCTTTTGACAACTTAATCTCCTTCAAAAGCATCTGCTTCTCCGCCGTGTCCAACTTGGACTTCCTCAGCATTGCAGACAGAATATCGTCTTTCTGTTCCATGTCCCTTTGCATCTTCACAATCTCCACGGACAATTTTTGGGCCATCAATTCAGACTCCTCCTTCTGCTCTAAAACCAACTCGAGATCTTGCTTTGTGGTCTCCACTTGCCTGAGGGCCCTACCCATCTCGGCCTCCATCTGCCGTTGGTTCGACACGAGCTCGATGAATGCGGTTTTGTGCTTCCAAATTTCAGAGGCATGCTCTTTAGCCTCTCGCTTTGCGTTCTCCCTCAATTCTTCCGCAGTATTCTCGGCCTTCTTGATCTTTTCTTCCAATTCCTTTCTCTTTAGTCCCTCTTCTTGCAATTCTTTATCCTTTGACTGGACCAGAAGCTCCATTTCCTTCAATCTTTCATTCAACCCAGAAATTTCTTCATCCTTTCTTTTCCCACGGACCCTCACCTCATTCACGAGTGCTCCGATCTGTTGCTGGAGCTTCTTCCTTTCATTAAGCCATCTCTGCTCTTGCGCCGCAAAAATACCGACTACTTTCTCGTTAGCTTTTGCATCTTCATGTCTAATTCTCTTCAACTCGTCTCTCTCTCGCTCAGCCATCTCTAGCTTGGCTAAGAGCGCAGCTTTTCCCTCATCATTTCCCTTTTTCTGAGCTTTCCACACCAGCAAACCCAACAACTGAGCGCTTCCTCGGAGTATCGTGTTCCATACCTCAGACCATTTGTCATCATCCGTCTCTCGACTGGGCAAGAGTCTCAGGGCAAAGTACGCGCACGACACTCCAAAGTATATTGGATACCAGTCATTGACCTTTTCTTCGCATAAGAACAAGGATGACAAACAAGAATGTGGAATCTTCCTCTCATCCATTTGTCAAGAGCAGGAACGCGCTGCTTCTCCCTTGAGAAACATGGAGAGGGAGCCAAAAGTCAAAAGTCGGTTAGGAAGAAACATTATTTCAAGCAGTTGCTATCGACAATAGAACAATTCACTCATTTGAAAATGATCACAAGATACCCAGTTTTTGCAAATGCAGGCACAGACAACTAAAATCATACAAAAGAATTTTAATGAAGGAAAGCCAATACAAAGGCAGAGACAAATGAGGCAAGTGAAAAGGGATAAAGAGAGAACTCACGAGAGCAACAGATTCAAGGCTTCAATTGAAACCCAGTTCTGAAGGACTCATCAGGAGTAGATCTCAAGCATCAGCTGGACCCAAGAACTGCAGAGAAATTGTGCTGCAAAAATGAATTATGAATGAGCTAGAGAATGACAAAAGCATGAGGGGTGAGTGGAATTTACACGTGTGAGAGACTGCAAAATCTGCTCAAAAAAGGCGCTTTAAGCAGAAGAAAACATGGAAGAAATAACAGAAAGTGTTCCCTGGTTTTCAGTGAGAAAACTGACCCACCTCCAATAAAATTCGTCTGCTCTTTCATCTTTCTCTTGGTGAGTCACGACTGCAACAGCAGGAAGCAAAAGGCACTAGATTCCTGCTAGTTTTGTCAACGTTACTGATTAGAAAGAAAGGGCTGCTCCAAA